TAACACGGCCGGGCCTCGGGGCGGACTTCAGCCACGTGATCAGGTTACTGCCCGAACATTTCTCTTTTTTTTTTTTTTTTTATATTTCATTGAAAACATTTATTGTTCTTTTGAATAGAAACGGTTATTTATTTGCCAGGAAGGATGATTCCATCATACTTCTGCTGGAACCAGCGCATGGCCTCCTCTTTGCTGATTCTGTGTTTGGCCCCAATGCAGCCCGTCCTGCGCTTCTTGTCTGCGATGCTTGAAGCTCAGCTCTGCCCTGCTAGTTCGCTGCTGGGGGGACACAGTCGCAGGCCGCGGCTCAGGGTTTCCTCACGTCACTGTGCCGCCCTCTTCTGCCGGCCTGCGTCGTTGAGAGAGGCTGGGAGTCTGTAAGGAGGCAGTGCCTTGGTGGCTATGTCAGTCAGGGTATGTGATGGCTCATCCTCGCACATCAGTGCTTTTTATAAAGGTTTTTGCCATGGGGCACGTGTGCTCACAAGTGAGAGAGAGGGGAAGGGGACGGGAGATGAGAAATGACCCCCTGGGGGAATGGCCGTGCCGCAGTCCCTTCTCCTCCATCCTCCTTTCTGGGTTTGGGGCAGATGTGCTGAGCATGGTTTTCAAGCCAGTAGATCTGGGACTTGAACCATGGCCATGTAGGAGTCCAGTACCTTAACCACCATGCCTCCAGCTGGCCCTACATCAGTGGTTTTCAAGTTTATTTTCTTCTTTTTTACTTTTTAAGCATTAGAACCTTTTCTTGGGCCAGCCCAAGGTACGATGTTTACAGTGGCTGGATCCTACGTGGCCGACTGCTGCAGCAGCTTGAGAAACATGCAGGCACGTGTGCATGTATCGCCCAACCCTGAAGGAGGGAGAAGGGAAGAGGAGGGAGTGTGGTGTGGCCATCCACCATGGGCGGTGCCATGCCACTCTCCGACCCTCCTCCCCCCCCCCTTCCTTCTCTCTGCTGAGCACACGTACCTTCTGGCAAATTAGAAAGAGAGAGAGAACCTTTCCTTTAAACATGTGGCCTATGGGGGCCGGCAGGTGGTGTGGTGGTTAAGGACGCTGGACTCCCACATGGCTGACTGTGGTTACCTGGGAGCATTTTCTCACTCCCTGCCTCCTCACTGTGTCCCTCTCTGGTCAAATTAAAATAAATAAATAAATAAATAAAAATAAAACAAAGTTCAATAAAATAACTCTCTTTAAAAAAAATGGCCTGTGGGAACCAGCAGTTAGCGTAATGGCTATGTCGCTGGACTCCCACGTAGTCGACCGCGGTTCGCGTCCCGGACCCGGTGGCTTAAAACTCACGCCGGGCGCGTGTGCGTGCGTGCCCAGGATCCCGAGAGGAGAATGGAGGAGAAGGGATTGCGGCGTGACCATCCCCCCTGGGGGTGATTTCTCGCTTTCTGTCTCTATGTCGCTGTCTGTCTGGTGAGCGCACGCACCCTACAGTGAAAATCTCTCCAAAAAAAAAAAAAATATGGCCTGTGAGGCAGGTGAAGCTGCAGTGGGAGGTGTGGTCCGCCCATCCCCACCCTGTCTCTCCCCCAAAGCACATGATTACCTGGGCTTCTCGAATAGGGCTCACGTGAGCTGAAGGGGCAGTGGAATCGTTTTGCTTGTACTGTGTCTTCACCTTTGGAGTGTAGGGACCCGACTCCTGTGCTGGGAGCTGTGGGGTCACAGGGCCAGCTGGGATGGCATCCGACCGTCCGTGCGGCTCTCCTGTCGCAGCAGGACCCCGTCGCACCGGCTTTGCTGAGCGTCGAAGCGTGCACGTCCTCCCACGTGAGAAGCCGGCGGGCCACAGACTGCTCGGCTGCGCGGCTGTTGGCAGGCTGGCAGCATGCCTCTTTGCTGAGGTGGCCTCCTGAAGTGGCAGCCGCACTGTGACTCGCCGAACGCCTTTGGTTTTTGCCGCTTGCATGAAGGCAGGCAGCCTGCCTCCAAGTCGGGCTCAGACGAGATCGCCAGGTTCACGCTTTCCGAGGCAGCTGTCACCCAGTAGGTCTGGCACTGCTCCCGCCCTGCCGGCTCCCCGCCCTGGCTGCTTCCTCTCCTCGCTGCCTTCCGTAGTAAAGTCAGCTGCACCTTCTGGTAGCTTCCTACGCCTCAGCCCGGCCCTGCCGAAGCCCGCTGGGTTATGCAATAAGCGATCTCCCTCAGGCTGTTTACACGGCAGGATTTCCTGAGCTTGAGGAGAGTGTGGTCAGCTTTAGAGTAAAGTGGTTCAAAGGGCAGGAGTAAGAGTAAAAGTCAGGTCTGGCCCTGCAGCTCAGCGGCCAGGGGAGCCAGATCCCACAGGGCCGACTGCGATTCGAGTCCTGGCCCTCATGGCTTGAAAAGCATCCAAGCACGTGTGTGCGGACTCCATCCAAGCGGAGGGGAGCTGGGGAGGGACTGCCCGCCTTGGGGCTCGCTCCCCTCCTGTCTGTCTGGCAGGGCACGTGCTCTCTGGCAGAGTAGGAAAAGTGAGGCCTGGCGAAGGCACTCAGATGCACGGGAGCCTGAGAGGACATTCGCTGAAGTGCTAAGTCCAAAGCGGAAGGGGGCCTCTCAGCTTGGGCCTCACACCGCCTTGGTTTTCGGTGAGGGGGAAGCGTTCCCTGTCCTCACGTGAAGCGACTTTGCTGCAGTCTCCGCCAGCAGGTGTCCTGCCAACCGTGCGTGCTGGTCCTTGGCCAGGCCCCGGGGTGGGGTGCACTCGACTGTGCGTGACAGTGAGGGACCTGCGGCCAGGCGGCCTCTCGTGGGGTGGCTTTTCCTTTGTTCTTACAGCAATAGGAGTGGCCGTGAAGCCCTGCCTCGGAGGCCTGGTCTTCCTGAGCGGTGCCTCCTGCGGGGTGCTGTCTGGGCCCCAGCTCCCAGGCACAGGCCTCAAGCTAGTCTGTCCTGCGCAGGCTCAGAGCTCAGAGCTGGGGACCCTGCCAGTAGGATTGCTCTTCCAGGTGAGGTCAGAACCAGGTGAACCGTCTGGTGTCTGCAGGAGCCACCAGGACCGTAACAGGCTAGTGCCGGGTCCAGGTCCCCCCAGCCCCTCGTCCGCTTCCTTACCCTGCAGGTGAGGGTGCGGCTGGAGAGGGAAGACCCCCAGCAGTGCTGCCACCTCCCTGTCCCTTCGGAGTGCGGGTGACTTAAAGGGGAGGAGGAAGAGC